CTACACCTCTCTCATTTGCATATAAATCAGAAAAACTACAGAACATGGGAACATATATTAATGGGAGTTCAATTGTTTCTGGGAATTTGCTGGGCCTGCCATGTTCTGGTGTGACATCTTAGATCTGCAAACATCAATTAGTGGTTTAATTTCTGTTTCATTGACATAGCAGAGAGTACCACAAAGTCAACCAGATTTGGCTTTCCCTGGATAATCCCTCTGGACTATGGCTTCCAGATTCTCTCTGTATTCAGTGAAAATGAGTTCTGAGCACAGCCAGCTAAATCTGCTGCAGTGATAACACACTTCCTTCATTATAGCTGTCAGCTGATAGGCTGGTGTTCGTGTTTCTAGGACAGCAGCCTGTAGAGGCTAGTAGACACCCACATGATGGCTGGCTGCATGAGGAAGCTTTAGACCTGAAGATGAGAGGTGGTTTTCCTAAGTAAAAGCATTCTGTCATTGCAGATAAGCTTGGTAACACAGACTGATTGTTCACATAACTGGATCTTGAAATGGTTGTATCTTTACAGATACCATAAAAGCATCTAGCTGGCATCAATTTATGCTATGTGTAAAGGTTCCAGAATTTCTGTGTAGCTGGGCACTGATGGATTTGCAGCTTGCATTTTATGGCATTTTAATAAAAATGGCTCACTTGGAAAGCAATCACTTAAATCTGATTTTCATTGTAGTGGTCTTGAATTCTTTAATATTCCACAAATGCTACAGAAAGGAAAGTATAAATCAGTTTGTAGTATATGACTCTTGTAGGCCCAAGTGAGAAATTTATATTGTTTTGAAGAGTCTCAGTTTTATATTTTTGTGTTTTTTTTAGGCCTAGGAAGATTGTGACCCTAGTTTGACTGCTTATTTCCTTTCATCATGGGGGAGCTCTTCCGGAGTGAAGAAATGACCCTCGCACAACTTTTTCTTCAGTCTGAAGCAGCATATTGCTGTGTTAGTGAACTGGGAGAACTTGGGAAGGTCCAATTTCGAGATGTAAGTATCTGCTACTTATCTTCTGAGTTAGTGCAGTAACTCAGTCCTTTGACTGTCAGTCCTTTCAATTGCTGGTTCAAAAAGAAGTTGACTTCTTCTGGCAGCACTTGGAACCATTTCTGCTCTATATAGGTCCTAAGTGTTACAGGTGGCTGCAGGTGGCTGTACTTTACCTCCTATATCTTGATAAGACTTGTACTGATAAGTTTCACTTTGATCAGATGAAATTTTAGTTGATTTTTTATGACATCATAACAATTTAGAGGGGCTTTGAGACATGCAACAACTAGTTCTCACTATCTCTCTGCACACAGCTGTACATCATAGTAATTACACATTTATTTTTATTGGCAGCTAAATCCAGATGTGAATGTGTTCCAACGTAAATTTGTTAATGAAGTCCGGAGGTGTGAAGAAATGGACAGGAAACTCCGTATGTTGCTCCTTCTTCTTGTTTTCTGTTGTGTCTGAGTAGATTTCTAGAACTAAATCAATCTATGAGTCACTTAAACCTTTTCTCAAAAAAAAAAAAAAAAAGGAAAAAAGATTGCATGTGTGGCCACTGGAAGTTTAGGAAACTGTTATTGTGCAAAAACTGACCCAGCTTTCAGAAATACTTAGCTAAAATTTGAGGAGAGTGATTTGTGGTAATCTGATCTCCAGGTGAGTTTTACTAGGCTGCACATATACCATTGCTCCTTACTCATCCTAAAATTTCACCC